TGAATTGGATCGAGATATTGGTAAACCATCAATACCGATTTGAATTTTAATAGAAGATGAATTATTACTTTTAGATAAAAATTGCAAAATACTATATTCCATACCCAAATGACAATATTGACCAGGAAATATCTCATTAATAACGTTAGAAGATCGTGGTGTACGTAATAATGTCTTTGCACATTTTGGCAAATTAGAAAAAATTGGATGCACTTTTTTTAAACCAGACAATAAATGTGATAAAGCTACATGAGAAATACGATGCGTAATAGCCCATTGTACTAAAAATGTTTCAAAATCATTGTTTTCGTTTTCTGAATTATTATCCTCTCTGATAAAGTGTGGCAATACATTGTTTAAAGAAACATCAGATTCGGAGATTCTCGTTTCACTAGAATGTGTTAAATTTGCCTCTTGTGTTTCGAAAAGAGTATTATTCAAATTAACATTCCCAGAGTCATCATTATCATTACTCGAAGCGGAATTATTTAAAATTATGTGCGAATTGGATCTACATTCATTATTATCCGAATTATCCGAAGTAAAATTATTTTTAATTTCGTGCAAATTGGCTCTACGTTCTTCATTAAAGACAAGTGAAAATAATGCGTCACTCTCTTCTCGAATTAACTTACGGCGATACCTCGCTGAAATACGCGACAGACATTTGCGTTTCGACATGGTTGATTGGATTTATTATGTAATATTTGTAACGTATACGTGATAAATGTAACGTATTTTTAAAATATGTAAATAATATTTACTGTGTGGGTGTGCGTGTGTGTGTGTGTGTGCGTGCGTGCGTGCGTGCGTGCGTGCGTACGTGCGTGTGTGTGTGTGTGTGTGTGTGTGTGTGTGTGTGTGTGTGCGTGCGTGTGCGTGCGTGCGTGCGTGCGTGCGTGCGTTTGCGTGACTGTCAAGTAAAATTATTACAGATTACAAATTATACTTGCTAAATTTTTTTGATTACTCTCCTTGAATCTCCGTTGAATTAATGCGTCTTATACGCATCTACAGCCCATGGGAAGTCAGGAGGAAAAGCGCACGGCGACGAGCTTTAAGGTCGATAATCCTAATAACATTCATGCGAATTAGTATATTCATCATTATATTCGACACGGAATTCTTTACAATTATATGCGAATTGAGGACTCTATACGTTTTTTATTATACAGAAAAGTGTGTAAGTCAAATTTATCATTCTCTTTTCGAGTTTACAGCGTCAGACATTTGCGTTTCGGAGCGATTAATTGCATGTATAGTAATATTTAATCAAATTTAACATTTACAATATATATAAATAATATTTACTGTGTATGTATGTGTAACTGTCAAATAAAAATTATTAAAGATTACAGATTACTTGTTTAATTTTTTTTATAACACTCCTTGTCTAATAGTATATATTGTCCGAGTAATATAATCACAGCTGAATTATTAATTGCATGTATTGTAATATTTACCCAGTCAGAAATCATCCATCGAATTGACATATAATCGACGTCGAAATCATCACAATTACATCGAAGTACATGTAATTTCGATAATTTCGACGTCGATTATATGTCAATTCAATGGGTGATATTTGACTGGATAAATATATATATTACAATACATGATGCCGATTCGATTAATTATTTCTCGCCGGATAACGTTTAACTATATATACGTAAATATGCACACTCAAATAAAAACTATTCAATACTACAGATTATACTTGCCTTATTTTTTGCCAGCTCTCGTTGTCTACAGTTCATCAGAGGAACGGAACAGCGAACAGCGACGGACTTTATCGCCGGCGACGACGTCCTAAACAACATTCATACATGCAAATTGGCTCTATATTCTATATTCATCTCATTATCCGCAACGAAAGAATTTATAATTACGTGCCAATTGGGAACTCTACGTTTATTACAGACGAGTGTATATGATTCATTACTCTCTTTCTGAATTAATTTTTTGGCGGTATCTTTGGTCATATGCGCGACGGACATTTTGGCGCGCTTTTTATTGCATGTATTATTATTACCGTTTAACTACGTACATACGCACTTTATTCAAATAAAAACTACTTAATATGTATTTCAGATTATACTTGCCTTATTTCTTTGATAGCTCTCCTTGTTCAATGCTAATATCTCCTGTAAAATGCTCACGGCTAATCGACGGCGCGTCTTGCACGGATCGCAGACGGGAACGGAAGAGGAGACGAGCACGGCGACGGTCCGCGGCGTCTGCGAGTCCCTAACAACGCTGGTACATAGCAACGATTGTTAGTTACTATTGTATTATTAATTACAACTAACAATCGTTGCTATGTACCAGCGTTGTTAGGGACTCACAGACGCCGCGGACCGTCGCCGTGCTCGTCTCCTCTTCCGTTCCCGTCTGCGATCCGTGCAAGACGCGCCGTCGATTAGCCGTGAGCATTTTACAGGAGATATTAGCATTGAACAAGGAGAGCTATCAAAGAAATAAGGCAAGTATAATCTGAAATACATATTAAGTAGTTTTTATTTGAATAAAGTGAGTATGTACGTAGTTAAACGGTAATAGTAATACATGCAATAAAAAGCGCGCCAAAATGTCCGTCGCGCATTTGACCAGAGATACCGCCAAAAAATTAATTCAGAAAGAGAGTAATGAATCATATACACTCGTCTGTAATAAACGTAGAGTTCCCAATTGGCACGTAATTATAAATTCTTTCGTTGCGGATAATGAGATGAATATAGAATATAGAGCCAATTTGCATGTATGAATGTTGTTTAGGACGTCGTCGCCGGCGATAAAGTCCGTCGCTGTTCGCTGTTCGTTCCTCTGATGAACTGTAGACGAGAGCTGGCAAAAAATAAGGCAAGTATAATCTGTAGTATTGAATAGTTTTTATTTGAGTGTGCATATTTACGTATATATAGTTAAACGTTATCCGGCGAGAAATAATTAATCGAATCGGCATCATGTATTGTAATATATATATTTATCCAGTCAAATATCACCCATTGAATTGACATATAATCAACGTCGAAATTATCGAAATTACATGTACTTCGATGTAATTGTGATGATTTCGACGTCGATTATATGTCAATTCGATGGATGATTTCTGACTGGGTAAATATTACAATACATGCAATTAATAATTCAGCTGTGATTATATTACTCGGACAATATATACTATTAGACAAGGAGTGTTATAAAAAAAATTAAACAAGTAATCTGTAATCTTTAATAATTTTTATTTGACAGTTACACATACATACACAGTAAATATTATTTATATATATTGTAAATGTTAAATTTGATTAAATATTACTATACATGCAATCAATCGCTCCGAAACGCAAATGTCTGACGCTGTAAACTCGAAAAGAGAATGATAAATTTGACTTACACACTTTTCTGTATAATAAAAAACGTATAGAGTCCTCAATTCGCATATAATTGTAAAGAATTCCGTGTCGAATATAATGATGAATATACTAATTCGCATGAATGTTATTAGGATTATCGACCTTAAAGCTCGTCGCCGTGCGCTTTTCCTCCTGACTTCCCACGGGCTGTAGATGCGTATAAGAAGATGTCGAATCAAGGCTTTGTCGTCGCAGAATTCCCGGATGGTATTCAAGTAATACCAAAAATTTGGTTGCAAAATAAAGATGAATGCAAATATCCCTCGCATTTTAAGACGGATATAAAAATCCGAAAAGCGGTAGAGAAACAGGAGATACCAAAGTTTGATTGGCCCGCATTAGAAGTTATAAGAATTTTTGGCGAATATTGTAAGTACTATATTTAAGTATAGGGTTTTACTGACTTTTATAAATATTTTACTTATTTATAATATTTAATGTTTATAATATTTTCAGCGTCCTTACAGAAGGCTTATGCGAAGGCAGAGAAAGCTTTATACACGTCAGATATGGACACGGAAAAGGAAGCAAAATATTACCGAAAACATAGAGCGAGAAAAATTTACTCTTCGTCGGAAAGCGAAGAAGAGTCTGGTGTAAATTTGCCACCTGCTCCATGTCCTCCTGCAAAACGTAACGTTATAAGCATTTTCATTGCGCGCGCCCGCGTGTGTGTGTGTATATACATACACACACACGCATTCAATGTATATATATTTTCTTCATTAAATATATGTATGTATATATGTGTAAAACTCTCTTATATCTCTTATATTTAACATATTGTATTATATATTTTATACATACATTTACACATATATATTATACATATATTTTATTTTATTAATATATAATAATATATTGTTTTTATGATTCATGTAAAATTATATTATATTTAAATTTCTTTAACTTTTCTTTATATTATAGCTTGAATCACTTTGATGATGTCGCGTATTGGAATCAAAGTTTTCAAAACACGTGGTAAAGTATTTATGGCGAACACAAAGTCACCTTACATCGATTCTAATACGTTACATCATCACCGAAATTCAGTATAATTTCGAACGTTGGACCGTTAAGACGTGTTGATACTTTTATTTTTTCTTTTGTAATAAATAAAATTTAGAGTGGGTCCGATGCATCTGGGAAAATGCTAACGATAAATCGTAATCTTAATTTGAAATAAAATTTAGAGTGTTACAGTGAAATGAGAAGTTCATAAAATCCAGACTATATAAATTCTATCAAAATTAATTACTAAAATCTTGACACAGATCAACGACTCAACGATTCAGATGTATCTCGGATACAATGTAAAACTACATCCAATGTACGCTCTTCCGAAAAATCACAATCATCGCAAATTACAAACTCGAGCTCCCATTCATCATTTTTACAAGGTGAGCATTCGCAACATTACATAAAATTTCATATTTATAATTAATATTATTAAAGTTACATATATATATATATATATATGTATATATATATTTAACTTTTATATACAATATTTAAAATAATACATACAATTTTGTTCTCTACAGCTTCGCCTATTAATGAAGATAGGAATGGAGATGATTTGGTGCTTCATGTGAAACAGATGCTGAGGAACATATGCCGCGTACTATTATTGCTCCAAGAGAGAAAACTCGAGATGGCTTGATACATGCCCATGGTCGGTCAGACAATGAATATTCGCATAACAGCCCTATAATAAAAGGGAAAAATCGAATTAATTCGACACATAATCGGTATGACACCATCGATCCACCATTGACGCCATCGATCGGCTCGAGACATAATGACAATGATGCGGAAAAAATTGGCCGAGCTACTAAGAATAAGTATACGTACAGAGAAATTGAAAAGGAAAAGGAAAATTTTAATAATCAATTTTCACACGCAGAAGGTCCAATTGGTAAGTAAAGCTGCGTTCGGGAACATCACGCGGATGCACACCGGCCGCTGAAAATTTATACTATGCGTTAGGCCTGTTCTACAATAGAGTCGTAAGCTGTAAGACATAAAAAATTGACCAATCACAGACGAATTAAAATAGAAGAAAAATCGACTGTGATTGGTCAATTTCTTACGTCTTACAGCTTACGACTCTATTGTAGAACAGGTCTAACGCATAGAATAGAGTTTTGGCGGCCGGTGTGCACTCGTGTGATGTTTCCGAACGCAGCTTAAATGTAATGCATGTGTGTGTGTGTGTGTGTGTGTGTGTGTGTGTGTAAATACGGTTAAAATACACAATTATGCACTCAATTATTATAAAAAAGGATTATTGAAAAGGTTATATTAAACAAAGTACTTAAAGTATTATTAAAGTGATTATTAAAAAATATTATCGTTAAATTATGCGCATTTTATATATATATATATATATATATAAATATAAAATGCGCATAATTTAATAATATTTTTTAATAATCTCTTTACTGGTCCTTTTTATAATGTTTTTAATAATCATTTTTTTATATGATTTTATACATATCAATGTCCGCAGTATTGTGTATTTTAATCGTTTTCTCTCTCACACACACCCACACACACGTACGCACGCACGCACGCACGCCCGCACACGCTCACGCACACGTTCACACACCCGCGCGCGCGCGCGCGCACACACACACACACACACACGCGCGCGCGCGCGTGTAATTTAAATATTTTCAACAGTTTACATTTATTCTTGTATATTTCTGGTTTATCGTTTGAAAGCAGCGTGTAATGCGACTAATTTATGTTTTATAAGCTATTCGTATATTTTATATACTATGCACATTTTATAACGTTTTTTTATTATATGTTTTTGTATTTTTTTTATATTATTATTATAAACGTTAACACATTTATTATATAAATTTATATGCTATTGATACATTACAATTACATATCATGTTGATTTTATAAATCAGTCGTATTACACGTTGCCTTCAAGAAAATAAATACTAAAAATATTTGTAGTTGATCATTTAAAAAAATTAACGAGGGAAGTAGCATCAGTAAAATATGATGTGAGGCAAATACTGACCTTAGTAGACATCATAGTAGACAAAATTAATAAAGACACAGAATGTGAGAGAACACAAATTTCCTTTGAGGGCGCTGAAAACCGGTTTCCCTTGCAAACCGTAGTTCAGTTAGCGGAAGTTGAGGAGATCTTGAAAGCGTCAAATTCCCAACATAACACTGAAATAGTAAGTAAACGCATATAAATTTATATATATAAGATATAAATATTTTACCAATAAAATAATCAGACGCGAAATTATATTTTGATAATTGAACAAATACTGTAACTCACAATTACCATGAAGTTTTACAAGCTTTTATTGCATACATTTTATCGTTCAGATTATTAATAATTTAAAATTGTTATAAAAAAATGATTGGAAAGATTGAGAATTTAAAAGAATTTTAAGGAATTATTTAATCTGATAATAATATATTATTTTACCTTTTTATTTTATAGCGCGGATATATCAAATCCATCGGAGGGACAAGTGTCGATGATGCCGTAAAGAGAACATTGTATAAAGTATTCTCCAATAAATTGGCGGAGAGATATAACTGGGAAGGCCGACGCGGAAAGGAACCACTGCAGAAACTGGAAGTGATGAAAGTTATTTTCAGTAAGTTTAAATATTAATTAAACGTAAAAATATGTGATTAAGTAATGCTTTCATATATATACACATAATGACAGATAAAAAAACTGCACACACACACACACACACACGCGCGCGCGCGCGCGCGAATGCAAACTCTCTCTCTCTCTCTCGCTCTTTCTCTCTGTGTTATTTTACAGGGTGTCACGGAAATTTGTTGACTATAATTAACGGTCAGTTTTTAACGCACATAAGGAACAAAAAAATAAAAAAATCTTTTAACAGATGACATTTTGCATTTATATTTACATTTAAATAAAGATTGGAAATAATTTTATCACTACAAACAAACGTTTATTTTAAAATACTAATTTAATTATAACAGTTTCAGTAATTTATCATGACGCATTGTACTATATGCATGGTCCGTATTCAGAACGCTTTTAAAGATGTTAGCGTGCTTTTTTGTCATTCTATCTTTATTGTTCATTAAACGTGAAATAAGGATAGAATGACAAAAAAGCGCGCTAACATTTTTAAAAGCGCATTCCGAATACGGACAATATAGTACAATGCGCCCTTGATAAATTACTGAAATTAACTGTTATATATATATATTTAATTAGCATTTTTAAATAAACGTTTGTTCGTAGTAATAAAATTATTTCCACAATTATCTTTGTTTAAATGTAAATAAATGCAAAATGTCCTCTGTAAAAAAATTTTTTAATTTTTTGTTTCTTATGTGCGTTAAAAATTGACCGTTCTGAAACGTGCAGTTCTGAATACGGGCCTATATGTATACCTATATATATAGCTGTTATTTTTAAATACACGTAGGGAGCAGAAAAAATTAAAATATCTTTAAATAGAGGACATTCAGCAGTTTTATTTTCACATAGAGTAAAGACATTCTTATCATTTATAATAAAGTTTTTTTTTAATGACATATTTAAAGTGCATCATTAAAACATCATTGAAACAAAATCATATCTCTTGCGGAAACTATAAATAATTTTACGTAACTTTACGTCTCTTTTGAGATGCCATTCATTGCTTTTAATTCTCACAGCTCTGATCAATTTCCTTTATTATCTTGAACCATCTTTTATAAATCGTTTATTAAATAATAAGTATATTTCCGATATTTGTCTTTACTCTATGTATAAATAAAAATGCCTCTCTTAGAAAATATTTTACTTTTACTGCTTCCTCTCTATGTGCATTTGAAAATGACAGCTGTTTATTTTCAGCAATTTTCCATTCGACACCACGTAGATATTCGTAATTGTTTATTATTTTAATCAAATTTAAAAAGTTTTCGATGAATCAATTTATGTGAATAAAATTTTGTGTACTTTTAATCTTTTTGCATTATAAAACTAAAAAAGCAAAATTATTCAAATATAATTTATGCACTCTCTATCTCAATGAATATAAAATAAGAAAGTTAAAACAAAGAAAATGTTTACAGGATCCATACTTCACAATATCCCGGATTCCGACCAGAGAAAAATACAACGACGAGTTATGGAGTGGTTCCGACATTCCAAGGCGAGGCATGAAAATGAGGAGAAGCGGATGAATAGACGCGAAGGTAATGCTTTGTCTAATTTCTTGGAGGACTGCAGTGAATAGAGAAATGAAAAGTTATTAATAATGTCAATGAAAACACAGTTCTCTAATATTGTACTTTAGAATTCCAGTAAAGATAAAGTAAAGCCTGAGACACAATGCGAGGCAATAGCGATAGAAATAGCACAGCACAAATTTCAACCTATAAGAAACCACGTACCAATGGAATGTGGTTTCTTATAGATTGAAATTTGTGCTATGTTATTCCTATCGCTATTGCCTCGCATTGTGTCTCAGGCTTAACGGTAACGTAACATTTTTGGGAACTTTCCAGCAGGTAACACAGGCGACACCAGTGTCCATTAGTGTGAGAGAGAACGTATCAGTGTGTCTCACTTACACTAGTGAACATTGTGTTACACTGTGTCTTGCCGGAAAGCTCCTATTAATATTATAATTTCTCACTTAACAAGATAACTGCAACGTAATTGCAATGTAGCATGCCTTATATATGAAAAATTATAATATTAATGTTACACATTATACTGTTACTTAATGTTTATATGTATTTTAGATGTATACTCATCTTTGACGCTCACTGTATATTAACACTACATTTGATCCTTCCACAAGACCGTAAATTACGTCACATATTGTACATACGCCACATACCACTGTTAAGCTCCTGTCGCAAGACTACAAAGACCGACTCAACTGTCGATCGCGACTCTTATCTGACTTATAGGACTTATCTGACCTATAGAACGTATAGGATTTGGTACGCGTATTAAGTGCTCGGTGTAAACAAAGCCTTTAAAAGCGAGCTTTGAGCAACACGCAACCATAAGGGGGGGGGGGGGGAGATGCGTGTTGCTCGAAGCTTAATTCTTTCTGACATCACTGGCGCGAACGCTTCGCTTTTACGAGCGAGATGACTACGAGTGCTTTCTATTTAGCAACACAAGTCGACACAAGCATCATTCTGTCTTTTTTCAACAACAGTGAACAACAAAGATAGAATGATACTTGTGTCGACTTGTGTCGCTAAATGGAAAGCACCCTACGTTTACACGTCACCCTTAAACGTTTGTATTAATAATAATATCGATGTTATAATTGCGGCGTAAATCGGATCGTATAAACGTAGTCATAAATTGCGCGCTTTCATACAAGTCAACGCGTCAACATTAGCAAGAAGAGGGGCAATGTAATTATATTCTCTCTTCGTCTATATTGGAAATTGTGTGACGAAAAAAAAATATAATTCCAGTGCCCCTTTCCTGCAATAATTTTTATCTACTTTTAATATTGCGTTTGCACTTTTTTTTATCACCCATCTGATGTTTTATATTATACGTGTATATCACACATACTTTTATATTTCAGCAATGTAGCGAGATCGCAGAGACTGGACCGATGAAGACCGATGAAGCCAGTGATATGCGCGGACGAAGCCTCTCCCTGTTAGAATTGTTCCAGGACCTCAATTGTTAAAATCGAAAAATTTTCCTATGCGAAAGACGCTACGCGATTCTTCAGATTGGTATATATTTTTAAATTTAAAAGTATATACCAATCACACACACACACACACACACACACACACACACACACACACACACACACACACACACACACAGACACAGACACAGACACACACAGCACACACGCACGCACACGCACAGCACACACACACACACACGCACAGCACACACACACACACACACACAACACACACACACAATTTTCGTTCAGCGTCATCTTCGCATACGAAATTTTTCATAAGAGAATAAGCGTTCAGTTTGTCATTATTACAATTAGCATTACTATACAAATATTTGTATCTATATATTATTTTATCGACCTAATTTGTCTAATTATAAGATATATGTCCTCGCGTTACTCGGAAAAAAAAAATATATATATATGTATATGTATAATTTGAGAAGTTTTTGTATTGAGAACGAAAATGGAGCGAGAAAAGTCTTCATAAATTTGTAAATGCGTTTATCTTTCTTTTTGTCGTTCTTGGAGTTAGATAAGTCGCAGAAAAATTTATATGTACATTATAAATACTTATATTAATTTTATTCCATAAAAAATACTTATATTAATTTTATATTATATATTGTATATTAGTTTACTTGTATTCATAAACATATTTATTTCATCAATAAAAATATTTTCTGTTAATAAAAAAATTGTCTACATTAATTTACAGCGAAGTAAACCAAAACAAAGTCAAAAATCTACATCTATATGTCTTCCAATTAACGTCTATTATTATCTATCAAAGCTCCATGAAATATCTATGATTGCTCCATATTACGTCCAAATTGCTCCATGGTATACTCCATATTACGTCCATACAATATCCATGAATACATCTAATGGATGTCGAATGGATATATGAATTGCGGAACTGTGGATGTCTAGTAGACGTCTATAGGAGGTTTCGTGGACGTCTAATAGAGGTTTTGAATTTCCTTGATGGATGTCTAGTGGACACCATTAGAGGTTTTTGTTCCGTGTGGGAGGTTTACACTTCGAGAGACGACGTAAGACTAAAATCTAAAATCGTACCAAGAAAGATCTTTGTCGTGAAAACTAGCGGAAAAGTAATTAGAGTCTCGTTCAATGATGTCGTTAGTTTCAGTATAAGATTTGGATTGGAGCGTTTCAGAAAAAGGATCAAAAGTAGTAGGGTTAGGGTGCCGTCACATGAGGCTGTAACTTAAGGTGCAATTTCATGGACGTGAAACCATCGTCAAATTAAAATCATAGACTTATCTAGATTCAATGTCAAAAAAATATAGGGGGAATAAAGTTTTAGCCGTTTCAGCTTTTAGTGTTGTGACGTCCTGCATGGTCGAAACCCTAATTTTTTGGCGCTAACATTTCTTGCAAGAACCTATACAATCAAAACTATTTTGCAGATGATTTAACTTAAGCACAGATTAATAGACAGATCGCCAAAGGCCTGCCTAAAGAAGAGACCGCCATCTTCGTGCGATAGACTTTGCCCCTTACCGACACACTTTGCCCCTGGTTCGAGTCCGTGCTAAATTTCGTAGACTTGAACCAAAAGACTTTGCCCCTGGTTCGAGTCCGTGCTAAATTTCGTAGACTCGACCAAAAGACTTTGCCCCTGGTGCAAGTCCAGGCTAAATTCGTTTGACATTACCAACAGACTTTGCCCCTGGTGCGAATCCAGGCTAATTGATCATGAGACCAATTTGAGAGATTTGGCCCCCGTTGTGTGTGTGTGTGTGTGTGTGTGGGTGAGGAGAGAGAGAGAGAGAGAGAGAGAATATTTTACATATATGCATATATATATTAAAATTTATTAAATATAAAAATATATTTTTTACACATAAATGTTTTTTTATTGAAATAATCACGATTTTAAATGTGATATAACACAGTGTTCAAAAATTTTTAATTAAATTTTTTAATTAAATTTTATTAAAGAAAATTACTTGAAATTTTTTACATTAAGAATTTAAAGGCTCCTTATTCTCTTGTAGAAATTTATCACTACGCCAATTAATCACTTATTTTGAGTATTTAAAATACTATAATATACAGTAATTTAAGTATTCGAAATAAAAGTGATTAATTACTCGAAATAAGTGATAAATTGGCGTTACTAGTAATAAATTTCTATAAGGGTTGAAATAAAGTATAAAGATAAATAGGCTATATGTGAGCCGTATGCGAAATGTGAGATGTAAGACGCATATTGAAATTTAATTTTTCGATATAACTTTCAAAAATGTACACGAGGTACAAAAAATTAGCTTGGACATTTGTAAGACTTAAAATTGGGATTAATTCTCAATTCTATTAATTAAATTTCGATATAACACACCTTACATCCGCGCACGGCTCACATATAGCCCATTTATTAGTGCAATTTTTAAGTTCCTTATTTTTCAAAGTTCACCTTTTTACGTTATCAATATTTTTGGTACGTTTTCAAGAATTTTATATTTTTACTTACCGCAGTTTCTTATCCAAATGTAAAATCTTTTATCGCAGTCTATAAAAAATTGAAACAATTTACAATTTTATGATATAATATTATTATTATTACAATTTCTATATATATGCACATCTGTCAAATATCGTGATTTATTTCACATTATTATTATCTATTTTAATAAAAAAAAAACAAAAACACTTGCAACAATCAAAAATAAACCGCCTGCCGCGAACGGAAAATGCCAAGAAAGCACGCAATTTCCGCGAATCTCGTAATTTTTTTGAAAAATCAACAATTTCAACGAAATTGTAAATTCTTCAAATCACTGCACAAGTATAATTCACAATAATAATTTTCAGTAACTACGATAAAAAATCGTATACTGAAAACCGCAAACGAAAGTGCAATGGGAGTAAGAGTAAAGTCTGTGATAAAATTAATTGGCAATAGAAAATTAATAATTTTCAAATAGAAAAATTTTGAAATTACCGAGGATTTACAAATAATAAAGTAAAAATATTAAATAATTATGTTTTCGAATTTTGCTCGCGGAGAGGATCTTTAAAACAAGATTTTTAGAAGAGAGGACCTTAAAATATAAACAGGCAAAAACGTTGGAAAAATTAAAGCGCGCGTTTAAACAGATAAACGCAATGAAATAAATACGCAATTGTTTTTACTTATCGCTGTAAGCTCACAAGCTTCTGACGTGCTATACACTTTTATATAATATATACAAGGTGTCCGGTAACTAACGGACCAATGATTAAGGGCGGATTCTCTGGCCAATTTGGAGACGATTTTTCCTTAGCAAAAATGTTGAGAAGTCAATAATTTTCGAGTTATAAGCGATTGAAAAAAATAGGTTTTTGAAAACTAAACGTTTTGGAGTTAAAAGTCTAACATAATTACATTCTTCAGTTAATTTCAGGTAGAGTTTACTATAATAAAATTTTAATTTAAGGCTTAGTTATAAAGATACATAATGACAAAGATTGGAAAGTTGTAAAAAATGATGACCTTTTTCGACATTTTCGCTGAGGAAAAATCGTTCCCAAATTGACCAAAGAATCCATTTGTAATCATTGGTCTGTTAGTTACCGGACACCCTGTATATTGGACACGAGTTTCGTTTGTTTCAGATTCTCGAGAGTTGAAGTAGGAACATACGAGTATCATATATCGTTTGTGACTTGCCCGAATGAAAGCAAGACAGAGAGCGAACGAGATGATGAGCTTAATAGCTCATAATGTTATAAATAAATAAATAAAAAATTATAACCTGACCTACTAGTTATTGAATCTTTTTTTAATAAAATGTTTCATTATTATTATCATCTAAGTCTAAGTCGTTTAATTACTTTTTAGTTTTTAATAATTAATTTAATTTATTCTAGTCATTTTTATATGAGAAAAATAATATCACGTATACGTTTATAATGAATTAATATATTTCGGGAACCGAATTATATATTCTTAATATATAAAAGTGTTCAAAAATTATATTTGACTTTTAATTTTAATTATTTTATAGCAAAGAGTTCCGAAATCTCTTACACACATAATGGGGATTTTTTTCATCCATATAATTCGCAATTAAGTATATATGTTAATTATTAATTTTAATAAAATAAAAATTAAAATTAAAGGTCAAATATAATTTTAAACACAAATATATTAATTAATTATAAAACGTATACCCATGATAGTATTTTTCTCGTACAAAAATAATTAGAGTAAATTAAATTAATCATAAAAGATTAAAAATTAATTAAAGAATTTAAACTTATATTTTATATAATAATAATAAAAACATTTTATTACGTCAAACCGTCGTGAAATAATTAAATAAAATTTGCTAGTTACGTCAAAGTCAAGTTTTCTAAGCTTATAAAACATTATTAAAAAAACAGATTCAATAAATATAGTACATGTTATATATATACTTATATTATTGAATCTGTTTTTTTTTATAAAATGTTTTATTATTATCATATATAATATAAATTATTTAATTATTTTTAATTTTTTATGAGTAATTTAATTTGTTCTAGTATTTTTGTACGAGAAAAATACTATCACGGGTATACGTTTTATAACGAATAATATATTTATGTTCAAAAATTATATTTGACCTTTAATTTTAATTTGTATTTTATTTTATTAAAATTAATAATTAACATATAACTAATTGCGAATTATATGGATGAAAAAATCCCTATGTGTGTAAGAGATTTCGGAACTCTTTGCTAAAATAATTAAAATTAAAAGTCAAATATAATTTTGAACACTTTTATATTATTAAAAATATATAATTCGACTCTCGAAATATATTAATTCATTATAAAACGTATACGTATTAGTATTTTTCACATATTAAAAATGATTAGAATAAATTAAATAATTATTAAAAAACTAAAAATTAATTAAACGACTTAGACTTAGATGATAATAATAAAAACATTTATTAAAAAATAATTATAATAGGTCAGGTTAATATTTTATTTATTTATTTATTTATAAAATTAAAATCTGTCCTTTCCGAAATACGCGAACGCTACGAAAAGATAATCTCGTACATGCCGCCGGACGAGTTCATGAGCATGA